TCTCAATGGCACAGTCTGTGGGTCAGTGAGGAGGGAGTTCGTCTGACCCCCTTTCACTGAATACTTCAGCCAAATAAAGGTATTCCTTAGGTATGCCTCTCAGTGACTCGCTCATTGTGGCTGCTGCCGTTTCTAGGTTTGACTCTTCTTTTTGTTTGTTATGGTTTCTAGACAGGGTTTTCTGTTTCTTTGGGAACCATAATTGTTTGTCCTGCCAGTTCACCTCCAAGTTCCATTTTTTTCAGCCATGCCAGTCCTAGTAGAAGGGACAATTCCATGCCAGGTGCCACTATAAAGGTTAAAGTCTTGAAGTGGCTCCCCATGGTTAAACCCAGGGGTTCAGTGGCAAAAGTGGCTGGGATGCTCCCAGCGGTGTACCTGTCTAGCTGTCAGAATAGAATTGGGTTCTTTAATCTTCTTAGGTGGATCCCAAGTTTTCCCACTAGGGTGGGGCTTATTAAGCATCTGGTGCACCCTGGGTCTAGTAGGGCCTTTAGGGCGACTTTCATCCCCATGCCTGGGGTTAACAGTTCTATGGGCATGGTTACTTGCGTGAACGGCCCACTTATCAGGGGGTCATCATCGTAGTCGCTGTTGGATGTCCCCAGCTCTTTCTCTGGTCGGGTCAGGGTCCCCCATCCTGATTTTGAGGAAGGACGGAACTCTACAATGTCAGCGTTCTTCAGGGATGTGTCCTTGGGGCATTGGCAGGGCTTGGTCGGTTTTACCCCCAATGGTCTATCTGCCTTCTTTGCAGGGATTGTGAGTGACACTCCACAGCTTGGTGGCCTTCTTTGCCACATTTGAAGCAGGCAGTTGAGCATGGTGGTTCTGTCAGGGGTCTCTCTGCCTCCCTTTTTCCCTCTGGTGAGAATCATCTCCATACTCTGCCTGAATGGTGCTGGTTCTGGGCTTGGTCAATCTCCACTTCTTCGGCCAAGATGCACCAGTCGTGAAGGCGGGCAGGGGTTCCCCAGCAATGCAGGTATGATACAGCTCATCATTAAGCCCATCTTTAAAACAGCTCACCAGGATGTCTTCTGGCTAGTTGAGGTGGCAGGCCAGGTCCCAAAATTCCTCTGTGTACTTAGCTACTAGGTGGCAACCTTGCCTCACAGTCTTAATGCAGTCTTGCATTTTCCATTCTCCAGGGGTCTTCAAATCACCATCTCAGTGCTGCCATGAAGTGATTGAAGTTCCGGAGTTCTGGCGCATTGGCATTGTGTAGCATCTATCTGGCTGCGGCACCTTCCAGGGCTAGGGTGACAACCCTGACCTTGACTCCTTTGTTGGCAAGCTCTCGTCCATATTCCTGCATGTATGTGAGGACATGGGCGAGGAAGAATGCCAACTGTTGAGGGTCCCCATCGAACTTAACACTCAGAGGTGGTGTTTTTCGCTCCGATCACGGGGCTCCCTTTCTGCTGGCTCCCTGGGCATTCATCCTGGCTGGTACGACCTGAGGTGGGGTGGCCTGGGCAGTTGTTTCCCTTTCCACAGAAAAATAAGGCCATGTATATCTGTGCACAGCTAATAGTAGTAGTAGGAAAGTTTCTTTCTGTATAAAGTCCTGAGAAAAAGTTATTGGTGTGCCATTGATCAGCAGTTTGGCAGGTTTGGAGCAAAAAGAGGGGAAATAGACAAATGAGGCCATAGCTCCTAACACATATTGTACCAAATTCTTTGTGGAAGAGAAAGTCCAAATTGAGAAAAACTAAGCAATTAAATGTAAAAGTATGCTGTCTTTCATCCATTATCCTTGAATGTTTTTACCCGATAACTGTATGTTTGTTAATCTCCATATGTGTTTCATGTATTTTAAATAAATTTAAAGTGGCCATTCTATAGGGCAACTACTATAACAACAAAAATGGCACATAATATAGATGAAGCAAATTATAGGGATTTAACAAAATAAAGTTGGTTCCTTGTTCTTTATTTGAGGATCTCTTTCTGTTTCATTATCATTTACGATTTTTCTTGTTAAGACTTAAAACCTTTCTCTGTGCTGTCATGAACTATCCCTTCCCCCAACAATGTTTCGCTGCACTGATGTTTAAACCCTTAAGACACGTTTTTATTCTGCAGATACTCAAAATTCAGGGGGGGGGGGGAAGTTGGCAACTGAAGCTGTGAAACATTCACTGAGAGGAAGAGAGAAGGCCATAGAAAGCTCAGTGAGATGGCAAGAACTTCAGACTGTTTAAATTCACTTATTTCTCTAATTCTGATTAAGGAAATCCCAGATATTAACAAGGCTCAAAATACTTGCTATCTAGTCTCTTAAGCCTGGTTCTCTCATGCAAGCACACTGATGTACTGCACATTTTTTAAAGTAAACATTATGATAGATGAAAAAAAATACCAAGAAAATAAAATATGGTCTTGATCTAATTTCCTGCCCCAGATTGACTATTATTCTTTCTTTACAAAGAGTTACAATTGTTGTATTAATATCAGTATATTCTCTGTAGCTTTTTTCCATCATAAGTATATTTTCTTCAAATTATATATCAACCAAAAGTCAATCTTAAGTATCTTAAAGGATTGTGCAAAGTAAATCAGTATATGAAAAACATTTTCATGAAATGAAAATGTATTTCAGAACTGATACATTATCCGTGGTTTCAAGGTGGAGGTCAATTACATCTAATCAATCAGAATAGAGCTGGAGGTCTTCTAGTCCAAATCTCTGCTCAAGCAGGAGACCCTTAGAGATGGGAAGGCCTGGGAAAAACTGGAAACATGGGGAAAAAACAGGTTTTCCCCCCATTTTTTTTCCAAAGTCAATTGGAAAAAACGAGAAAAAAATCTGTTTTTTCTCCCACAATTTTTCTGGGTTTTTTTTCACAGGCCTTCCCATCCCTATAATCATTTCAGACAGGTAGCTATCCAGTCTTTTGTTAAAAATCTCCAGTGATGAAGCACCTACAACTTCTGAAGGCAATTTGTTCCACTAGTTAATTGTTCTCACTGTTAGGAAGTTTCTCTCTAATCCTAGGTTTCTTTTCTCCTTCTTTAGTTTTCATTCATTGTTTCTTGTCTTACCTTCTGGTGCTTTGGAAAATAAGTTGACCCCCCTCTTCTTAGTTGCTCTTCTTTGCACTTTTTCCAATATCTTAATCTAATATCTTTTTTGTAATGTGGCGACCAAGACTGGATGAAGTATTCCAGGTCTGATCTTACTAAGGATTTATAAAGCAGTACTAATAGTTCACATGATTTTGATCCTATGCCTCTGTTTATACAATCAAAAATTGTATTAGTTTTTTGGGTTGCTGCTGCAAACTGCTGGCTCCTGTTTACGTGATCATTCACTACAACTCCAAGATCCGTCTCATAGTTACTGTTTTTGAGCCAGGTTTTGCCTAATCTGTGCTTGTATCTTTGGTTTTTCCTACCTAGATTAAAATCTTGCCTTTTCCACATTAAATGTCATGTTGTTGGATAGGGCTTATTGTTCAAGTCTGTTAAGATCTTTTTGGATCCTGAACTTGTTGGCTATTCCTGCCAGCTTAGTGTCATCTGCAAATTTGATGAATTCCTCTTCTATTCCCTCATCTAAGCCATTTATGAATATATTGAACAGTACTGAGCCTAAGACAGAACCTTGTGCTACCCCATTGCTTACCTCCCTCCATGTAAATGTTGTATCATTAAAGACTACTTCTTGAATGCAGTTTGTCAGTCAGTTACAAAACTGATGAAAGGGAAGGGGGTGTGAACAAAGGGGTTTTATGGCCCTCACTTCCTTCGGCACAACTTCAAAGGGTCTGAATGTGGATACCACCAAAAGGACTCATCAATAACAATGGGACTATCATCTTCATCTAATCCCCTCTGAAGTCTCCCTTCCACCGGCAGTGAGGAAAAAGGAGGTGGAAATGTAACACCTGGGATTGCCGCTGGAAGGCGGGTGGGGTGGGCTGGGCTGTTGGGGATCCCTTAAAACCTTGAACCGTAAGGCTTTGGCCCCAAGTCCTGTCTAGAATGCCTGCAACCAGCTTTTTCTTAATAAAGATGCCTGTTGGAAGGAGTTCCAGGAGTTCTGTTCCAGGAGTTCTGTCTTCTTAAGGTGCAAAGTGGGGTGGGTCCTTACATTAAAAAGTTCCATGTTAACTCTGCCTTTGCATGCTATAAAGGTCAGACCAGTTTACAAATAAAATTCCTTGCAATGTGTAATGAGATTCATAAGTTCCCAATCTTTATTAAGGGTAAGTTAATTTTGCAATATTACTGGATAATGTAAGATATAATGGAATTTCATGTTTCATGGATCTTCTTCTGTTCTCTGAGCTACAGTGCTCTAGCCACAAGACTTGATGGAATTACATTATCTATTAGAACAAATATATTTGAATAATCATGTGTATGTATGTATGTGTGTGTATGTGTGTGTGTATAATCAATATACACTAGTATATAACTAGTCAATATAATTTGAAAATATGGAAATAAAAGGCATTTCCTATTTCCAGCTGTTTTTAGAAATCCCCTCCCAAATTAAGATTCTTTCAGCTACATAAAAGAACAGCCTATTTCCTGCAATATATTTGTATTGAGAGCATATGATTAAATTTGTTCAATGTGGGTATACTGACTTTTTTAGCTTATAAACTATATAAATGGTTTGATTGATCTATAAAGAGACTAATTTTTTAATGAATCTGAAATTAATTTTCTAACATTTGCTTTGAGAGAGAGGTGATGTAGAAATTTCTTTTTTCAGATTTTTTTTCACTAGCTAGCAATATGGATAAGACTACCCACAGACAATATATTTGATAGTGCCATTTTATAACTATTTTTGTATCTATTCCAATTTTTGTACTGTATTGTCAATATAATTTTCATACTCTAATGTTTTACTTTCTTCTACATCCCTTTCTCACAAGTATAAACATATGCCATCACTTTTGACTTAATTACAGCTATCAGGAAATAATTATTCCAAGCTTGTGCCCATTTAATCAATTCCTTCCTTTAACTTTTCCTTTTAGCTCTCCAAACACCCTTGGATATACTGGCAAGGTTCATTGGTCAGCCATCCAACCAGTAAATTCTAATCTTCCACCAACATTGCCATCAATAATTTCACGAATGTATGGGTAAGTCTAAGACACATTATTTAATTTGCTCAGATGAATTATAAAGAAAATCCTAATTATGGTTATTCCATCAAAGAACAATTAAATATTAAGATTATATTGCTGCGGTTTAGTAAAAAAAATGGGAGTCAAATCTCATAACAGTTGTAAATGAGTATTCAGAAGCAGTTTGCTCCTGCATTCCATTTAAAATTTGGGGTGGAATACTGAGCACTAAAGTACCTATGGCATGCTACAATGTTGTATAGAATATCTTTATCTCTCTTCTAAATAACTTCTGGGGTTAGAGAAAGTTGCATCTGTTATTTTTTTCTTTAGCTTTTTTTACACAAAAACATCCATATAACTTTTACCCTTCACTAGGAAAGGCACCAGAAATCCTAATCTGTCCATAGATTTCAGTGCAAAATTTCCTTTGATCAGAGTTTAAGTATTTTGAAGTTTAAACAGAATAAACTATAGTATATTAAGAATAGGTATGCTAACTAATATTATTCTAGGGAAACATTGTTCTTTCTCCCTTCAAAAGTAGGCATATGGATGCCAAACTTTACTTTTTAAAGTTCCCATAATTTCAAAAAAATAAGTTATTATTTGGAAGGTGCAACTGTTATTCAGAAAGTATTTTTTGACTTCGAACCTTTATTTTATACATGTATCCAGGTCATGATTGTGTCAAAGGTGCTTTTTCAAAAGGCAACTAGACTTTGTTTTGACTGAACTTCAGAACTGAAGAAGTTTCTTGGATGAGAAGCAAAACATCTTCCTCAAGGAAAAAACAAAATCCAGTTGCCCTTTGAAAAAATACCTTTGAGATCTTTATTATTATTATTATTTTATTATTATTTTTCCTTTTTCACTTTACAAAAACAAAATACAAAATATATATTTTTCCTTAACAGTACTGTGTCCTATATCTCTTACATTTATTTACAATTATTTACATCACTTCTCATACTTTTTTATTCCTCAATTCTAACCAGTTGTAACACTTGTCCCATATCTCATAAAATTCTGTAGCTTCTTTGTCTTTGATTTCCAGAGTAAGTTTGTACATCTCAGCACATTCTAGTATCTTGTAAATAATCATATCATTTGTTGGTATTTTTCCCCTTTCCAACATTGCGCATATGCAATGCGTGCCGCTGTTATTATATGTACAATGATGTGTTGAAGTTGTTTTTTCATCTTTGGGTTAATTATACCTAATAAGAATAATTCGGGTTTAAGTTCGATTCGTTTTTTTGTTATTTCCTGTATCCATCTCCTTATCTGCTGCCAGTAAATCTTTGCTTTGGGGCATTGCCATCACATGTGATAGAATGTTCCCTCTTTGTTTTTGCATTTCCAACAGTCCGAATTCATATTTTTCTATATCTTGGCCAATCTCGCCGGTGTTAAATGCCATCTATAGAACATTTTATATTGGTTTTCTTTATATGCAGTTGACAGTGTTAGTTTGCAATTTATGTTCCATACTCTTTCCCATTCTTCTATATTTCTACCTATATTACTTGCCCATGCTATCATTGGACCTTTTACTATTTCTTCTTCTAATTTTGCTTCTAATAAATGTTTGTAGGTTTTTGTTAAAAATTTTCCTTCCTTACCTGTCAATATTTTGTCCAATTGCTGTGGTACCCGACTTATTCCATATTCTTCCATATACTTCAACTCTAATAACATTTTCAGTTATCCCTTTCCCCAAAGATTGCATTCACATCTTTTTCAGTTAGCTTATTTTTCTTAACTCTATTAACCTAGTTTTTCTGGTTCCCACAAAAGTCACATGTAAATTTTAAATGAAATGACATCATATCTTATAATGTCTTTATTTGCTATGGTAAACAAGCCTTACAAATTGAAGATTTCTCAGGAAACACTTCATTTTTTTCATAGATTTATCAAATTGTTTAAAATAAAAAAGAACAATTACATTTGAGGGTAACATTGGTTTTAACAATGGTTTTACTGAAGATAATCAGTCTCAGATTAGACATAAACACCTTTGTCAAAAAGCAATAGCCTTTCTAGTAAGAGTGGTATGGTATAGAAACCATAAGATTGGTGGAAAGGTATGTTTTAGATCAAGCTAATGAATATTCACATATAATATCTCATATTTGTGTATATATGATATACAAACTATGTGGATAGTGTATATTTATTTATTTCCTATCTCTCCCAACCCACCATATACACTGAATATAATTAATATATTGTATTATCATTTATATTTATACCATAGTAATGATATACTAATGTAATTGTATCCTGTAGAGTGTGCATAATGTGTCATGGTTCCAGTAGACAAGACCAAACAAACCGGAACTCTGAGGCTAGAAACTTCCTCAAAGAACTTGTTTATTGGTTACATAGTATCAACTTGGTCAAAAGTGAAACCAAGTCTGAAATCCCCTTCAAAGAGAAACACTATTACAAAGTTAAACCTCCCACTCCATTGCTATGCAATCAGCTATGTTTTCCCAATAGAATAGTTTGGCAGGCTTTCTATCCAAATGTTCACACCCCTCCATCTAATCAACAGAAATGACCTTGGTTCCCATAGGACAGTGAAATATTTAGACTAGCAGCAATCCTCCATACCCCCTCCCATTCTTGTGGCAACCTAGAATAAGCAAGATGGCTGTAGCCTGGTTCGTTGTAGAGTTGACAGTCGGACCCCCCTAAGAAGAAAGCAAGTCCTGTAAAGGAAACAAAAGTGTAGGTTAGGAATTCCCCCTGGGCTTCTTAGGATGCTTGTCATAGATTTTTTTTTTTATTAACTTGTCTGCCTTCACATCGATATATTTCACCCAGGTACTTTCTGACACCAAATATTGTAATTTTCCCTTATGTAATCTAGAGTCAAGGATGAGTTTTATCTCATAATGAGTTTCTTCCTCTACTAAAACGGGACCAGGTGGTTTCTTAGGGATTGGCCTTAAGGATAACTCTGTGACTGGTTTTAACAAGCTGCAATAGGACACCGGGTGAACTTTCCCTAATAGCTGTGGGAGTTTTAACTGAACTATTACAGGATTTATAATTCTGACTATGGGGAAAGGAACAAAAAACTTAGGTCCCAATTTCCTACTTGGTAATTTTAGTCTTTGATACCTAGTGGAAAGATAAACCTTCTCCCCGAAATGAAATGGCTTCTGGGGAGATCGCTTCTTATCAGCCTGTTCTTTATATGTCTTGGTGGCTTGGGCTAAAGCTTTTTTTACATTTGCCCAAACAGTTTGCAAAGATGTTACCCACTGATCTAAGGTCTGTGAAGCAGGAGGTTCTTGGGGGTATTCGGGCATAGGGACAAATTCCTGACCAGTAGCTATTTTGAATGGAGTAAGTCCAGTGCTATTGTGTACAGTGTTGTTGTACACCACTTTGGCAAAAAGCAGGAGGTCCACCCAATTAGTCTGTTGGTAATTAACATAGCATCTGAGGTAGTGTTCCACCATTGCATTTGCATGTTCAGCCGATCCATTCATACTTTGATGAAAAGCAGATGAAAGCCCCTGGGTTTTAAAAACTCCCTTCAGAATTTTGCAGTCAACTGAACCCTGCTATCCGATATAATCCTTTTTGGTGCTCCCTGGAGTCAATGTATGTGTTTTAAAAATAACCTGGCTTGCTTTGGGGCAGATGGGAATCCTGAACAAGTGATGAAATCAGCTTCCTTTGAAAAAAGATCAATGACAGTCCAGATCACTATACTTTCTCTGCTCTAGGGTAATTCCACAATAAAATCCATGGCTATCTCCTCCCAGGATTGGGAAGGATCAGCCACTTGTTGCAATAGACCAGGAGGTTTTCCAGGGCACTTTTTCATAGCTGTGCAGGTAGCACAGCTTTGCACATAACTTTCAATGTGTTTTTTCATGCCTGGCCAAATGCAAAGTTTTTAGAAAACCAAAATGACCGGCTGGTTTTGCATTATGACTGTTGAAAGGCTTGAATTCTAAGGGATGCCATAAGGTATAGTTTTGAACCCTTCCAGGCTAGTCCATCTCGAAAAGTCAATAGCGATCTATTGTCTCTGAACCAGGGGTCTGTTTTTAATTCCTCTTTTAGTTAGTTAGTTAGTTAGTTAGTTAGTTAACTATTGGGCTTATCAGATTTTCTCTGCGTTTGCCCTCTCTTGGTTACTTGAGAGGCTGATTGTGATAGAGGAATGATGGAATTAAAAATTTCCTCCTTGAGGCTTTTTATATTTGGGCAGTCTAGACAGAGCATCTGCCAGGAGGTTTTTCCCATCAGAAATATTTGAGGGTGAAATTAAAACAGTTGAAATACTGCACCCTCCTTATTTGTTTACAGGACAATTTTCTATGAGTTTTTAGTGCCTCAGTCTACACTTTGAAGGGCACTTTGCTTCCTTCCAGGAAATGGTGCCAAGTTAGCAAAGCCCATTTCACTGCAAAAGCCTCCTTCTCCCAAACAGCCCATCATCACTCTCTGTCCAAAAGTTTTCTTGAGGTGTAGGCACAAGGTTGTAGGTCCCCCTGTTATTTATCTGTAAGAGGACAGCACCCACAGCAACATCGCTTGCGTTGGCCTGAATGATGAAGGGTTTTAAGAATGGGTTCTGTTGCAAACAGTCTTTTTAATTGTTCAAAGCTCCCTGGCATTCCATAATCCATTGTAAAGGCTGACAAGGGCAGGGTTTCCCTCCCCCTTTTACAGTCTTTAACAGTTCAGTAATTGGCATAGCAATTTTCACAAAAGAGGGGATGAACTGTCGACAGAAGTTCGTGAACTCCCAAAAACTTTGAACCTGCTTGCAAGTCCATGGAGGCTGCCACTCTAGCACTACTCTGACTTTGGCAGGGTCCATTTCCACTCCTTACTAGAGATTCAGTAGCCCAAGTAATTGAGGCACGTCTGATGAAACTCACATTTAGAAAGCTTAGCATAGAGACTAGCTTTCAACAGTTTCTTAAGTACCTCTCAAACTAACTTGACGTGCTCCTCCATGGTCTCAGTGTAGATGAGGA